AGCGATTCCTTGTGATGACAAATGAGTCACTTAAACAAGTCAAAACAAACCAATAGGACTGACGTCACCATTCAGCTTTATTTTCTATATATCCAACAGTAGCTTGTGGTAGTTTTACTTGACTTCATTTGTATGGAGTAAATATAATATCTTGAAATTAGCAAATTTGGAGATTTATGAAGATTTTGCAATCGATTAAGTTTATATAAGAGAAAAGATACTTGCTGAAGATGGCACAGAGGATTTTTTTTATATTGTTTGTGGAGGGGCAGTTTTTAATCATAGCCAAATAGCTGGACACAAGGGAGTTAAGCCATAGCTAAAATAAAGTCTTTATATGATGCATGATGCACAAAACTTTATTTGATGTAAACATCATGTATATATACATATTCTACTTTGCATATAACTAAGAAAAAGTAAATGCATTTATAGATACAGAGCAGAAATATTCTAGAGAGAACATTTTATTTAAATTAATAGTGGACAGAAATATCAGAACTGACAAGACCTAATAAGTAAAAATCTTAAATTTCCTATCAATTTGGACAAAATTCTTATTAACGAGAACTAATTCTTGCTAACATATTAGCTAGGAAGCAAGTTAATGATTAAAATCTTTTTTTTTGGGGGGGTCCGGTCGTGGGGCCTGAATTCTGGGCCTGGGCGCTGTCCCTCAGCTCTTCAGCTCAAGGCTAGTGCTCTACCACTTGAGCCACAGCACCACTACCCGCTTTTTTCTTTTTGCTTATGTGGTGCTGAGGAATTGAACCCAGGGCCTCAGGCATGCAAGGCAAGTGCTCTACCACTGGGCCACCTTCCAAGCCCCTAAACTCTTCTTACTTAGCAAATAAATTAATCATTGTCAGAGCTGTAACAACCTTTACTAGGTACTTAAAGAATCATGAAAAATAGATGAAGATTATATGGTAAGTCCTTGAAATGGGTTCCTTGTCTAACAACCATAATTCAGCTTAGCCACAGCCTCCAACATAAACTGTTTTACTGTAATTTTAAAGTATGTTTTGGTCTTAGAAAGTTGGCACTCAGATAAATAAAGCAAAATTCTTTTTAGTTTACTAGAGTCAGCACCCTATTTGTAGATTAATCCATGAACACTTCATGGGACCCTGTTCTTTATATGCTTTAAGGCCTATATTCATAGGTTAGCACATTGAATATTTTATTATTATTACTACTGTTATTAGTATATTTAAGTACCTATACAAAGGAGTTGCCATTTAACAAAACACTTTATTAATTCAGTGCGTCTTACCTATTCCTAAACCTACCCTTTTCCCTTGCTTTTTTAAATTTAGTAAGATATACATCAAACTCTTGACTGTATTCGATCCCCCTCTAGTATATTGAATATTCAAAGTAGCCTTTTTTTAGGGAAGTAAGCTTATGTTAAGATTCAATTCTTATTTATTAAGTACATTTAGAAAATATAACTCTATTAAGCAAATGACTAAGATAATAAGAAATGACGAAGGACACTCATTCTAAGAACAGGTATTTGCAGGGGAAAATAAATCCACATCAGCCTCTGTGAGAATCAAAGCGATCTTGTAGTAGTCATCAACTATTTGCAGATACTTCAGGAGCTAGAATTACCCTCCTGCCTTCTGTCTTTTTGAAGCTGGAGCCATCATCTTGCTAGCAGGTTATACTAGGCTATTCCAGATATACACGAAGCAGATTTATAATTCCCTTAGTATCTCTTAAGTTTTGTGAGTGAGCTTTATAGGTAAACTGAGTGCTTTTCTTTTCTGGGGCAGGCATAGCAGACCAGTCATTTCTCACTTCTGAGATTGATAGGGAAATAAAATGAGAGATTTGAGGAGTTAAGATGAATCATACAGGAAGATTTCTTCCACTCACCTTACCATCACACCATGCTTTCTTCATGTATTGAACATGAACTTGTGATCCATAGTAATAGATTGCGCTCTGTCATGCACAGAGCTGGCCTTTTGGCCATGATCATAACTTAGATTCATCAGAGAAGTGGTTTAACTTGTTGGAGTAGACAGTTTACAGAACTCTTAAGGAAGATCAGGTTAGTTTTATTCTTTCAATGTTGCCCAAATGTTGTTTGTGACTCTTTGTGCTTTAACTACATTTATTTGGAAATTACTTGTAAGTTCTCAGACAACACTTTACTCATGGCATATTGGGGAGCTTTTGTCAGGTAAATTCAAGAAAAACAGCTTGAAAAATGCTTTGGACTTTATATTCTTATTTGTCTTTAAAGACTTAAAATAACTTGACTGCTTAAGCAAATGAAAATACATAATGTTAAATTGTAGTTACCTCCTTATATATTTGTCTTTCTAATCTTGGATACAACCTGTAAAGCATGATTGTGTTAAGATGACAGATTAACTTTTGGAAAATTATTGGAAGATACAGAGCAGGTTTGCTCTGTGCTGATATTACTTTACCACAAACTAGCTCTCTGAATAGTATAATTAAGAGAAATCTTGAAGTTTTAAATTTATGACTATGTTCCTACATATAAGTTTACCTAGATATATATGTAAGTGGAAGTAGTTAACATTAAAGATAGGGAAACATAGTTTTAAAATGCAAAATGATACATTAATTAAATGTTTAAATATTATTATGTAAATTGCACTGTAGAGAAATCCAGGCATGCATATTCACATAAAATCAATTTACTCAAGGTTTGAATTTTTGCCTATGAGATTTACATTGTCTATAAAACTATATTTTTCTTTTGGGTGTGACACATTATGAATATAAAATATACAAAGATTTCTTTAAGGCATATAGTTATTGTAAAATATTAAAACTCTACTAATATATTTTTGATATTTTATTTTAAATATGTACTGAAGGATATACTAAATGGATAAAATTGAAATAAAACTGGTTCTCAATTTTTGTCAAATAAGGATTGTTAAATATAACTTGCTATTCTATTGAGGTTTTCTTTCTTTCTTTTTTTTTTGTCGGTCATGGGGCCTGAACTCTGGGCCTGGGCACTGTCCTTCAGCTCTTCAGCTCAAAGTTAGTGCTCTACCACTTGAGCCACAGTGCCACTTCTGGATTTTTCTGCTTAGGTGGTGCTGAGAAATTGAACCCAGGACCTCATGCATACAAGGCAAGCACTCTACCACTGAGCCACTTCTATTGAGTTTTAAGCCGTCCTTAGCCATCAGAAATCCAATTACTTTATACAGTAAGTTTTTACCCAATATTTAAAAAAAAACCTTTGTTTTTATTTTAGTAATAGAGTATCCTCAAGAATTTTATAAGATATATATGTATATATATTACCAACTTCATTTATGCTTGAAGATTAAAATAACTTTCTCAGTGCCTCGCATTAAGAATGATGTGAAAACTCACTACCTTGGTTTTCACATTTTCCAACAACTACCTTAAATGATTAATTAGATATAGTTTAAAAAATAATATATCTCTCTAGGCACTGCTGGCTCATGCCTGTAATCTAAGCTACCCAGGGAGCTGAGATCTGAGGATTATGGCTCAAAGCCGGCCCCAAAGAAAAATCTGTGAGACTCATGTCTCCAAATTGTTTACCAACAAAGCCAGAAGTGGAGCTCTAGCTCAAATGGTAGAGTGCTAGCTAGCCTTTAGCAAAAAAGCTAAGGGGCAGCACTGGTGCTGAGCTGAAACCGCAGGGTAGGCATTAAAAATCGTAGTCTATTTGAAAAGCAATAACTTTCCTGATTACCTGATTAGTAATAGTTTTTCTTCTGATTTCCTTTAAAGAAGTATGTGCCTTCTACCTTGTATGTTTTGTTTATTGCTTTGGAGAACTACTCAATTATTGAGTTTAACTTTGAAATTGTCCAAGAAGTTTTATTTGTTAAACAATTGTGGGACAGACTTTTTTCTATAACCATGATAGCTTACTAAATAGCTGTTGTTGTATTGATATTAGTTAACAGTGAATAATTTATGTAAGTAAATTTTATTTTATTTAATGGAGGATTAAGAGAGATCATCATATCAACCAATTTATAAATCTATAAGCTATATTTTCAACTTCTATTAGGTTCTAAGAAGATATCCTATATTTGATATTTCTCTTTAAGTGAAAGAAATATATCTGGGATAAAATGATATTTCTTAGCCTCTAAGAATAATCTATTTTTTTCTATTTCCAAGCCTAGCATTTATAAATAAAACAGTAATCCACGGATAAACATAAATAACTTTTTCTTGAATCAAAATATATTTTTTACAACAGCATAGTTACTGTTGGAAAGTCTTTTATTATGTATTTTTCACTTTATAACATTTAAGAGGAATATAGGCATACATTGATTAAACAAATGCTTTTTTTGTAAAAGAATGCAAGGAAGTTCTCTAGATTTGACACAATTCACATAATGCACTTGTATTATTTTTATTAGATATTTTTCACTTTGGCTGGTGTAAAGCACCTTGTCTCCCTGGATCTCATGTGGAAATTATATACACCAAAGAAGGAAGTGCTATTGTGCACAAATATTTTAATTAAAGTACAAAATGATAACCTGCAGGGGAGAAGATCTAAGCATTTGTCAAGCTGCAATTATATTAGTAGTTTCATTTTTATTTGATAACTCAATAACAGGGTAATTACAAACATGCAATTAAAGCAAAGTCAAACCCTAATTTATAAAGGCAATAAAAACAAAGAACAGAGTAAAACCCTATTATAAAGCAGTTACCATAACATTATAATGACCTGCATTTCTACCAGTGTACCTTATAAGGCAAAGGTCAAATCTAGCTCTGTCTTTACACATTAACATAACCCCAGATCATAAACACAATACAAAACAATTTTTATCCTCATGAGCTTTTTTGCCAGTTCAAAGCTGTGATGAATAGACACATAATGAAAGACAATGTTGGAAGATGTTGGCGAATCACAACACAAAGCTTTAAAGATAGGCTTAATGACTCAGAAAAAAACTATACAGTGTAGGTGTATATATATGTATAGTTTTTGTTACCTGCAATGCCAACACATTTTTTTCATCAGATGAAATGTAATCCAATATGGAGGCAAGCTTGAAGCATAAAGTGGATGAAGGACCACGGTTCTTTAAAATACTGAATGAATTGTATTGGCAGTCACGAAGAAAACAAATGGTTCAAGCCTTTCTGGAAGAGTTCAAGGAAGGTGGGCATTGTATTTTGCCTGACTGACTTGACTGGCAAGGATCAACTAAAACCTCTCCACTGAAAATATAACACATGGTTTAATTATATCCACACCACAGAGGGACTTTCCAGTACTGCTTTTCAACATTAACTCTTCCTTAGATTTATGAAGCAACTTGAATCTCCTCCTTTATACTTTTCTGTTTTCCTTTTTGTTTTGTGGTTGACAAAAACTCCCTAATAGCCCCAATGAAGCTTGAAATGTCCCAGCTCCTTTTAGAGTGACACGGACCTCTTCCTTCGTCTGACAAAATCCTCTGGATGAATGAAGTTGGAAAGAGCCTTGGTGAGATGACTATCCAGTGTGTCAGTGCTGCTCCCAAAGGCAGAGCTCTTCAGGCAAGGACACAAGTAGCTCATGATGGCTCGGCGGATGTAAGTGTCAAAGATGTAGTAAATGAGAGGATTGACACAGCTGTTGGCAAATGCTAAGGGCCCACTCACATCCATGCCCAGCTGAAGAAGAGTGGAGGAAAATGGGAACTCTCGCTGCAATCCAGAAACAATGGCCAGGAGTTTGAAAGCATTAAAGGGCAACCAGGAGAAGACAAAGGCTGCCACTACAATAAAGATAACCTTTATGGATTTCCTCAGCTTTCTGTTATGCTTTCCTGATTGCTGGTAATGAGCACACAGCTTCCTTGTGATAAAGCAGTAGCAGGTCAGGATGCTCACCAAGGGCACAAAAAAGGTGAGAATCAAGACTACCAGAGACCATGTCAGTTTTATGGAAGTGGCCCTCTTCTCAGCACAGTATGGCTTATCATTAATCAGGGTGAGCTCCCGAGACAGAAGAGTAGGCAACCCCAGGAGGCAAGAGATCAGCCAGACACTTACACAAATGCCATAGGCACAGTCCCTCCGTCTGAGTTTCCTGGATAGGGCTGGGCACACGATGGCCAGGTAGCGGTCCACACTCATGCAAGTGAGCAAGAAGATACTGCAGTGCATGTTGACCGAGATCATATAGGAGCTGCCCTTGCATAGGAAAGACCCGGTTCTCCACAGTCCAAGAGATGCCTCCTTATCCACCCAGAGAGGCAAGGTGACAAGGAAAATGAAGTCCGATGCAGCCAGGTTGATGATAAAGATGTCGAGCAGTCTTCTGCTGCCACGTTTGAAGTACAATGCACCTATGAGGATGAAGTTCCCTGATACTCCAGTGAGGAACACAGCTGTATAAAATATGGGAAGGAAAACCGAGGTGTAAGGCAAATGGGGGCTGGTGTCCTTGATGTCAGGGTTTGAGCTTGTAGCATAATAATAATCCAAATAAAACGGGGTTGCTTCTGGGTCCATCCCTGAATACCAGATGCCAAACCTGTAAGTGTTTTCCCTATGAGGTTTTGATTTGAATTTGAGAAATGTCGAGGGAGTTTCTCTTATATAGTACCTGCCTTCTATTTTTTTCTTCTCCCTTTAAAGATATTGGACAAGCATGAAAACAGATTAAAAATGCAGTTTCTACCAGTCTTCAGAAAGAGCCCACAAGGCACACCACCTCTGATTGGTGTTAGTTGTGGTTGTGGTTTTCTTTATTTGCACTTACCCATGAAACTGAGGTGTTTCTTTTTTGACTTCTTTAAGATATTTGGTTTTTTAAAGTCTAACATTAAGCACTGAATTAACTTTAAAATAAGTTCTCGTTTCCTTTAAAGAATTTTGCTTTTATGCCTCTGAATTCTCTTGATCTAGCCTTTACTTTTACGTTTAGGATTTTTAAGGTAATAGCTGCAGACATACATACTATTGATACTTTCGATGATGTGTGTATGTGTGTAGAAGTTACATATATAAATGTATAATATATATGCACTAGATTTTTAATATAATATATATACATTATATTTTTATTTGAATGAAGAGTGTATGAAGTTTTTCATTTGTATGCAGTGATCAGCATTTCCCAAACCATCTTCAGTCTATGTCTGTGGTATGCATTATGATTGCCATTAAGGCGTTGACTCTACTAACTTATTTGAGTTTTAAATTTTATTTAATACATAATAGTAACTTTTATTTCATATTTTTAAGTCTCCAAATGGATGGAGATTTATTTATTTATTTATTTACTTTCTTTATTTTGTAGTGCTGAGGATCAAACCCAGATCTTTGCATAAGCTAAGCAAGCAGTCTATTACCAAGTGATAACCCCAGATCTATTATTTCAAAGTTTCCATGGCAGCTAGCATGACATCTTGTCCATAGTTGATGTTTTGTAGCTATTAGTCAGAAACCTCATATTTTTGTGATCCAGTGTAATTAGCAAGGTTGTAATTATTTTGAAAAAAAACTACAAACATTCTGATTCATGGAACTTACAAACATATTTAAAAATTACAAACTTAAAATTTAAAAATTACAAAATCATAGATATGGTAGGAATAGAGGTAAAATAATAATAAGTTCAATGTCTGCCTGGGTTACTACAATGGACTAGTGATGTGGCTTAGTAGTAGAACACTTGCCTACCATCTGTCATGACCTGTGTTTGATCCCAGCACCACAAAAACCAAGAAGCAAGCAAACAAAAATTGTAAACTCTTCTACTTTTACATTTTACCTGCTATTGCAATCCAACCAAAAACACTCTTTTTTGTTAAAAGTTAACATCAATTAACTAACATGGTCAAGTAACTACCTTTCACTAGACTTTACATTGCCTCTGCTCCCCACATTGTTACAGGACACCACTGTAGAAGTAATTGTTTTTCATAAGCTTTTGAGCCATTGCATTTTACACACCATACATCAGAGAATTCCACTTTTTGGAATCCCCAACCTTTCAACAGAAGTAAAAACCTATACTAAATGGCATCACAATAGAACTTTCAAGATACTCAATATAAAAGCAATGTTTTTTGGTATACTAAAATGCTTGAGAAACAGGTTAAAACAGAAGAGATTCTATAACAGTCAAAAAAATTGAAACTGATTTGGGAGATTTTAATTCTTTACTAATCAAAGTGACTTCAGACTATATTTCCCTTTATCTCACTTAATGTAAAAAAAAAACTCCAGTTTCAGATTGGTAATACGATTAAATAGGAGGATGTATGCCTATAGTTGAAAATTCAAGTTGGACATTTAAAGTCCTTTCTGTAGAATTTTAATTTTTCAATGGCAGGTATATTAAAAATATAGTCCTGCCTGTTGGACTCCTTGTTTTTGATATAGTTTAATGTCACCACCTTCATAGGCAAGAGGGGCAGGATCAAGAAATGGTTAAAGATCTCCTGATTTGAGACATCTTAAAGAATCATTTGGGAGTTGATTTATGGGGTTAGCCTCCCTTCATCCTTTTCCCTGTCTGCTCTGTGCTATTCATTCATTGTATGGGGGACAGAAGCTTCACTAAACATAGACTGTAGATCACAGGAACTAATTAACTACATTGACATTTCTTGAGCAGAAATCTTTGCCACTGGGTAAACCGTAATTAAATTTAAAAAAGAATTGATTTTTTTGCCAAATAGTTTGAAGTAAAACTATTTACTTGAAAAAGTTTCATAGTGTAAAATTATTAAAATTCTATATCTGTATATGTGTGTGTGTGGAAGTACCAGTCTTATATAGTCTTTGTATTAGAGTCATCAGGATTTCCTTTGGAGATTGAGAAAATAAGGTTCATTTGAGATGTAACTTTCCTTAAGTATGTCTAAGGAATCAACATAAAAGTGTACATTTAGGAATTGAATGTTTGAATGCACATTCATTTCTGTAAGGCCTTAACTTTTCTTATAGTTGTCTAAAGTTGTTGAGCTGGAATATAAAATAGCTAAAATAAATCTGACTTTTTAAGCAAAGTGATTTTTAAAAATCATACATGGCCATTTTGAAGTATGATATTAATGGTAAAATGTTACAGTATGAGGCTACCTTTGGAGGAGAAAGCAAATTAATTGTTGCAAGCAATAAAAGAAAATAATAGCATAGTTTTTGGTTTCTAATAATTAAGAGTACAATGTTAATATGTGCTGCCCATCGGCAGAGAACATCATAGTTCTAAGAAATTTCAAGTACCAAGGCCATTTTAGGACGTGGCATGCATTTTGAAATATATACACATATACTAGCAATAAAATAACCACGTATACATAGGTCAAAACTCAAAAGCAACAGTGAGTTCTATAAGCATATAAAAAGTCAATACCAAGAGGCTACCAACAATAAAAGAAAAATGAACATTAATATTAGTATCTGATACATGAATACCATCCCTTAAGAATGGTTTTCTAGGAAACATCATCATTCAACTTTCTTCCTCAAATTCTGACAAAAGTAATTGTATCTAACATGCAAAATTATGCATATAAAGTACTCATTCTCTCATTTAATTTGGCTAGTTCTCAATATTTGACCCATTGCACTGGGGTAGAGCTTTAAGCCTAGCCATAATGGGAACTGCCTGGAGTTCCTAATGATCAAGACAGCTACTCACTAAAATCCTCTTTAGGACTCTTAAAGTGATTGTTTTGAATCTGTGGTTGCCAGACTATATTACTCACATTAAAATCACCAGGAAGCTGACTGAAAGATAAATTTGCAACTTTATCCTAGATCTAGTGAATAAGTCATTGGGCTACTGTTTAGGACTCTGTATTTAACAAGTATATAAAGCAAATCTTACACACCCTGAAGTTTTAAATAACCATTCTTATTTATATCGATTAACCATGTTATGCTATGTTTTGTCATTACTTTGGTTAGTTTTGTAATTTAAAAATTACTTCACAAGTGCAAACATGGGGACATCCTTGATCTTGAATCGTACCAAATTTAAAAAATTAACTTCCTAGACCCTTAACTCTGGCATATGCTAACTCTTGAGATATGTTACAAATTGGATCAGATGTTGAAGTTGAGATGAAATATTTCCTCTGTTGAGATATTTTCATTAGTAAATGTATTATTCACGATTACATGGCTGTGTTTGTGGATTGAAGTCTTTGCTTTACAAGCAAGAAAAATATTTTGAAAGAATTGAGCTACCCCAATTAGGTTGTGATCTCTAGATTTACAATTATATTGCTCTTTTTCTCTCTTATACAATTTTGACCACTATAAAAGGCAGAGACTGTATCAGCCAATTCTTTGTGTATAACACCAGAAATACCTAGCTATAAAGTTTTCTGCTCGTACATCCCAGAATAAATGCAAAAGAACATGAAGTAAATTGATTCTTGTTAAGCTTATCAGGTAATAAGATTAAATATATTTACTTGTTAAAAGAATTTCTTACTTGACTGTCATAAAGCATATAATAATTAAAAAAAGATCTAGTCTAAGAATATTGTTTATACTCTAGAAATTTGTTTTCAGTTACTTTGAGAATTTCGTATTATTATTAATTTTATACTATAACAATATATATTTATTGTTAAATGATGCCAAATTAAGTGGATTACATTCACTGTTCTTAGTATGTCCCTCCTTTTAATTTTGATTATTTTCCTTGATATCTCACATTTGCATGGGTTAATCTGATTATTATTATTATTATGGGAGAATATACTTTAGGCTTCTTATATTAGATTTAATCTGTATTTATATTACATATCACAAAAATTATTTATTTTAGTGTCCCTGGCATCCAAGCTTGGTATCTGGCATGTAACAGAAGACCAGTAAATGTTTGAAGACTTGAACTGAATAAACTGTTCACATACTTCTTGGATAGCTTTGATTAGAATTTTAGCTCAATTTGTTAGTGATTTTTTTCCCCAATTTGGCATAAACAGAAAACACCTAAGATTCTGAGATAAACCAGAATTAGGTTGTGTGGTCAGTGGCAATGGGTATAAATAAACAGTTCATATTTTCCATGCTGAGGGGGACAGGATGGTCAAAACCTCAAACACACAGTTATTAGGTTGGAGACTGTGATGCCCTCAGTATTTTTAAGCATTCTTCAGAACTAGAGAGTATATGTGTAATTCTCCTTTGTAGGTATCTCCAGAAACATTTACTTCCTATACCACAGTGGCTTATGGATGATATAATCCCAGGGTTAATAATTTTTTGAGAAGGCTAACCAAAGACAGTAGTAATGATATCCTCATGTCTTTCTTACTCACTCACAGCAGTTGAGAGGTTGATTAAACAAGCTGAAGCAATCGAGAACACTTATTTCTAAATGGCATCCAGAGTGAATCCAGGAGTAAAAAGGCTGCTCATACCATCCTAACATTATAATTATTCAAAAATAGTTGCAAATAATAATTTGATGATTCTTCATTAAGCTCTAGATCATATGCTGAAATACACACACACACTTACTGATGACTGAAAATACTCTTATGGTTTGGATATTATACATAAAAATATAGTAATATTTGAACTTTATGGTAAAGTTTGCTATTGTCTTTATTTATGCACTGGATATGAATATCAGTTTACCAAT